TCCTTTAAGGTGCTTAACCAGTTCTCTGGACAGTTGATTGTCTGACTGTTTTTCTGACCGTATAACTGGTTCAATGATCCTTATGAAGTAGTAAGGCTCTACACGACCAACCTGTCAACACAAACAACTTGATGTTAGATATGTGGAAATTCTGAGTTTTGTGCCATGCACAACTCAAGAAATATTGTGCTTCAGCACTTACAAGTACTAAACCCGTAAGGGGTCACACAGTGCTTGGGGAGTGGGAGGTCATCAAGTCTGATTCAAGGAAAGGCGTAAGTTTTAATAAATTACTAAAGGATTCTGAAGAAAAAAAAAAAAAAACTGATTACAAACAAGATTGATGTAAATGATTTACAAGTTGAAGAATGAGACACCTGTGCAACATTTGGAAAACAATCTATTGTGGAAATATTTTATCACTCAGTGGCTTCTTCAGTCCAGACCGATGAACTGAACACAAAAATTCCAGGATGAGGGACTGATTACCTCAAATTCCTCCTTATCTTCCAGTAGTCTTCTCTGTACAAAACTGAAGAAGCCACTGGCTGGCTAAATGTTTCCTCAATAAGGATTCCTAAATGTTGCAAAAGTGTCATTTGACAAACAAGAAAGAAGGAAGAAACTTTGGTCTTGTGTCCTGTAAGGAAACAAACTATGCAATACATCTTTTTACATAATGCTAAATATGATCAAATGTTTCATACATAAAATATTTCAAAATTAACAAGTAAATCTCACATGAATGATCAAATATTTCACAGATGACATTTAAAAATCATGGAACAGGTGGGGTCTGAGCCCATGGCAAGCGAGTTTTAAACCTCACAGGCCAGTGTGTTAACCACTTGGCCAGCGAGTTTTAAACCTCACAGGCCAGTGTGTTAACCACTTGGCCAGCGAGTTTTAGGACTCGTCTGCCATGGGTTTGAACTCCACATATTCCATGATTTGTTTGCAATCATGTTATTATGATTTCATGGATCATGGTAACTGTGAAGGCTTACTCAGCCCTGTAACAACCTCAGATAGTATTACCAAGGTTGGCTCCTCCTCAGGAAAATTAATGAATAGAAAAAGAAATAATTCACAAAGATAAACACTTATTTAGTAATGCAAAGATAAAACATTGAAAAAATGAATGTGTATCTTATTTGACAGAAAAATGAAAAATGAAATAAAAACATGACATTTGAATTCAACGCTAACATATACAGTTATACTGGGGTGTATGGTGGAGGTTGACACCGTCTTGTAGAAATTGTAGCCGTTACTGATGATGTGGGGGGGTTACAGGTGTTGGTGACAACCCAACAACTAGTTCTTCACAGAGTCTATAGCCTTGAATAGTCAGTCCATATGACAGGAACGCAGGTTCTTTACCACTGCAAAGATGAGGGGCAGTGTCCTGTACAATTTATCAGGTAGGTAGATTATAAGGTGACGTCCCAAGACCGTTTTCAGTCCGTCTCCTTCAACACTTCTCGTTGGCTGGCAGGTAACCCGATCTGTCATTCCAAGCTGGAAAGAGAGAGAGGTTACCCACTGCTTAAGAAATCACTCTCCATGATAAGTGTAAGATACTTAAAAAAGGTGGTGATTATCGAAAAGTCTCATGTGGAGCTTAAAACAAAGGACAAAGTTTATTATTGGTCAAAAGTGAAGCTTTCAACCAATATCCACTAGAATAGGAGCAGAGGCTTTTACTTACAGTTGTGCTGGGAGCTGAGAGTCAAGTGATTACTGTTTGGCCGGAGCCCCACACGTCACCTTTCGAGGTGGGGAGAAGGGGGGGGGGGGATAGCGGGAGCTAGACTGACCCTACCTTAACAAGCAGCCGGCAATCAAACTATCGTTACCATATACTCGCTCACTACTCCTATCTGTTGAACTTTTCCCTCACATTCCCCCATACCAAGACTTATAGTCAAGGAGTATAAGAAGAATAGGCGAGGAAAAAGTTCTAATACGAAGTCGCGTAAGGCAACAAATCTGACTGTCACGACTTAACCAGTCAGAAATGATTGGATGAACCATTGATATACACAATATGAAACTTAAAAGCTTGGAGTGCCAATGTCCACCTTAAGAGGCAACTGTTGGTTCCCTTAAAAGTTTCTAGGTATATCAAAGGTTTGTGATCCGTTTCTAAAATATATTCTTTTCCCAGTAAATAAAATTTAAGTTTGGAGATACCCCACACAAGGGCCAAACATTCCTTTTCTATGGTGGAGTATCTCGTTTCTGCAGGAGGGAAGTTTTAGATTTAATAAATGTACAGGAACTAGGAGCATGTATTTTGTGCAGCAAGCACCTGACACCTACTGCAAGAACTATACTTCTTTGTAACCTGTAAGTACATGCTTGGCCAAAAATAAGTGTGCTTGAGTTTATGCTATGTCTTACGATGGGCCAAGTGTTAGGTCACTGGCAAATCATGAGCCATTTGAAGAACAGTCTCTCGACATGGTTTAGGAACAGCAAGGAGGGAATAATCTATCGCTGAAGAATGAGATTTAAATACAGATTTATATAAGATACCATTAATATATTCAAACTTATGAGATACGTATCTCCCATGGATAACTTTGTTGTTAAAAGCTTGATTATGACAATCCCGAAGTGAAGGGCAATAGCACTGTATATTGACAAAGTCATCCTTGGACATAAAATCTAGGAAAATAAAAGGACTTACGGTGGGAGAAGAGGTAGGAGAAGCCAGGGTTATGGTCTGAGCCCTAGTCAAGACATTGAGAGTGCCGGAGGCAATACCCTTACTTTCACCTGACGAGTGGACAGGTGATCCTGCTACCTCACTATCGAGAGCAGTATCATCTGTTTCCACCCCCAAATGAACAGTACGAGACAATGCAGCTTCCGGTGTGGAATTGTTAAGGGGCTTATTTAACTTGCAACGAAGAGGAGCTGGAAAACTTAGATTCATGGGTGGTGACGAAAGATCCGCCTCTGAAGGAAGAATGGCACCTTTAACCCTTTCAGGTTCCGTCCCGTAGATCTACGGCTTTACGGTGAGTGTCCAAACCGTAGATCTACGCCATGAGCTCAGCTCACTCTGATAAACTGTGAGTGGTACATTTGGGCCTAGATATGAGAGAATACATCTATGTGGTATGTGTGCACCACATAAAACAGATCCTGCAGCACACTGTGTATAATGAGAGAAAAAAACTTAAATCATGATTTTTCAATTAAAACAGCAACTTTGCAGTGTTTTTTCGTATGTTTTTTATAGTTGTATTTGCGATTTCTTGGTCTTATTTGATAGAATGGAAGACATATTACAGAAATAGAGATGATTTTGATTGGTTTTAGCACTGGAAATGGCTTGAAACTGAGCTCAAAGTAGCGGAAATGTTAAATTTTTGCCGATATTCAAGAGTAAACAAACGACCTCACACGTCTAATACACGTCAGCTGGTGGGTCTAATATACATTCACAAATATGGTGATGATATTTATACAATTATTACAGTATTGCATAACAGTAAATCTTCTATTTTTTGGTGTGAATAAAAATTCATTATGTGAATAAAAAATCAAAATGGAATTTAATTTGTAAAGCCTCAAAACATAACTAATGAACAGAGGAAATGTTAGTTTAGTGCCAGGAATGCCTACATTGTTTATTCTGGACCCTATTTTGAAATTGGAATATTTTGAACTTTGTGTTAAATTGGCCAAATTAACAATTTCCGATCACTTTATTTTGTAGTTGAAACAGTTGACTTGGTGATTTCTTGTGCTCAATCGATAGAATAGAAGTAATACTAGTGAAATAGCTAAGAATTTGGTTGATTGGAATAATGTAATTGGCCTAAAATGGGAGTCAAAGTCGGCAAAATCGCCGATTCGTAAATATAGCCGACATCAAAATTCGCGAGAGCATAATTTCGTCAATTTTCCACCAAATTTCGTACTTTTTGTTTTATTACCTTCACAAAAAGATTCTCTACGATTTCACAAGAAAAAATAACAAATTTTTTTTTTTTAAATTCTTGGACACTGGTGCGTAACTCCAGATTTGGGCCTTGGACCCTGAAAGGGTTAATGTTACCCACTATTATAGAACAAGTAATTGGGGCTAGTACCGCATTAGTCCAACCGGTGAACCACTTAGTTTTCAAGTAACAATGTATTGTAGGGAAAGCATTTTCACAACCCAAGTAATCTGAAAGAATAGAGGACACACGAGAGGTTTTAAAGTAAGGGAACAGTTTGTCCGAAATTATGATGCACGTACATCCAGTGTCACATAATATGTGTGAGACTTTTATACCTTTAACTGCTCCTGAACAGAAGGTTGCTAGGTCATTACCGCCAACAAAACATCTACCAACTTTATTTTCTTGGAAGGACAATCTGGACGTTTATGTCCGATACCACCACACCGATGACATGTTGGTATAATAGCTGGTGACTTTCTTTCTACTCTAGGCTTCTTAATCTTTGGTTCAGGTGAACCATTGCCCTTAGGGATCGATCCCTTTAGGTCTTTATAGGAATTGCGAGCCTCAGCATATAAGTCAGCAGCCTCAGCAACTTCTTCAGCTTTAATCAGGTTACGTTCTCTAATGAATTTTCGTATTTGGTGGGGAAGAGCTGTCAGGAACTGGTCAGCAACCATGAAGTCTCTAAGAGATTCATAACTGTGATCAATTCCTGAACTCTATCCAAAAGTTGAACAGACGAAAGAGTTACTTGTAACTGCTGAAAGTTCTGGCCAGGCTGTAAGGTGGCATACCTGAAATCTTTCCTATAAGAATTTGTGGTTTTTTGATATGCTTTAAGGATTGCCTTCTTCAGTAGGTTATAATTACATATGATATCCTGCGACAAAGTTGCATAGATATTCAAAGCTGTACCAGAAAATAACATTCCTAACCTGGTAGCCCAGGTGTCAGCAGGCCATTCACAGAGGGTAGCGGTATTTTCAAACCTGATAATGTATGAAGTTATGTCTTCCCCCTCTGTGAAGGGAGGTAAATTAGGTGTTGGAATATGTTCACTAGCTGCATCATGTTCAATTACTCCTTCCTCTAATTGTTGTTGCGTACAAGTTAACTTTTTATTCTCTAATTCAAGGTGAGATTTTTCGAGCTCGCGATCTTTTTGTCTCTCGCAGTTCATTCTCAAGCTTTTTCCTCACATTCTCTAGCTTTTTCCTCACATTCTCTATCTTTCCTCAAGTTCTCTTAACCTAACTTGTTCCTCACATATTTTAGCTCTCTCCTCACGATCAAGTCTATCACGCCCCTTTTTTTCCTCTTTCTTTTTCTTGATTTTCTCTTTCAATTCGATCTCTCTCCTTTTTCTCCTCTCTTTCTAACTGTCTTTCTTCTCTCTCAATTCTTTCCTTCTCCATTCTTTCCTGGATCTTAGCACTCATAAAAGCTAAATTTTTCCCCGTTATTCCGAACTTACTCCCAGCGCTCATCCAAAACTGGTATTCCTCCATACTTGCAAGAATAACAAACTACCAGGGGAAAATGAAACGGATATATCAAAGAAAACTGAGGGTTCAATTCCTGCTCTGTTCAAACTGTAAATAAATCGGAGGGTTTGATCCCTGCTTCGATTAAACAGTATGTGTGAATGAAAACCGAGGGTTCTATGCCAGCTCCGAGCAAACAGAAAGTAGAATGGGGTCCCTTGACCATCCAATCTTCTCACCAACAAAAAAAAATCTAAGTGTCCAACAGTTCCCTTGATATAATCAAGAGTTCAATGAAATAACTTGTCACTGGAAAATCTCGGGGTCCCTAGAGTTTATTCCTCCAAATCATTTCAAGCTCAAGAATAAAGGAGGCAGAATTAACTAGTACATCCTGCCTTGACTTGACTTACAATAAATTGAGACTATAACAATCGCCAAATCATTTAAATACCTGTACTGTAGTCCTACCATAGAGAATAATTACTCATGGCTGGTGGTAACCGTCTGTGGTATGTGGCGTTGAAGTTCCAATGGTAGATTCAAGATGAAGTCGAACCTTGATTCAGTCGAGTTGATCCTGGCAAGGTCGCCACTTGTGAAGGCTTACTCAGCCCTGTAACAACTTCAGACAGTATTACCAAGGCTGGCTCCTCCTCAGGAAAATTAATGAATAGAAAATAAAATAATAATTCACAAAGATAAACACTTTATTATTTATTAATGCAAAGATAAAACATTGAAAAAATGAATGTGTATCCTATTTGACAGAAAAATGAAAAATGAAATAAAAATATGACATTTGAATTCAACGCTAACATATACAGTTATACTGGGGTATCTGGTGGAGGTTGACACCGTCTTGTAGAAATTGTAGCCGTTACTGATGATGGGGGGGCGAGTTACAGGTGTTGGTGACAACCCAACAACTAGTTCTTCACAGAGTCTATAGCCTTGAATAGTCAGTCCAAATGACAGGAACGCAGGTTCTTTACCACTGCAAAGATGAGGGGCAGTGTCCTGTACAATTTATCAGGTAGGTAGATTATAAGGTGACGTCCCAAAAACCGTTTTCAGTCCGTCTCCTTCAAAAACTTCTCGTTGGTGGCAAAGGGAACCCGATCTGTCATTCCAAGCTGGAAAGAGACAGGTTACCCACTGCTTAAGAAATCACTCTCCATGATAAGTTTAAGATACTTAAAAAAGGTGGTGATTATCGAAAAGTCTCATGTGGAGCTTAAAACTGAAAGGACAAAGTTTATTATTGGTCAAAAGTGAAGCTTTCAACCAATATCCACTAGAATAGGAGCAGAGGCTTTTACTTACAGTTGTGCTGGGAGCTGTGAGTCGAGTGATTACTGTTTGGCCGGAGCCCCACACGTCACCTTTCGGGGTGGGGAGAAAGGGGGGAGGGGATAGCAGGAGCTAGACTGACCCTACCTTAACAAGCAGCCAGCAATCAAAATATCGTTACCATATACTCGCTTGCTACTCCTATCTGTTGAACTTTTCCCTCACAGTAACACTTCAAAATGAGCAGACAAATTCCACAGGAATGTGAAATCCGAGACAGAGAAGGAAGGATATGTACACTTCACCCTCACACACCATCCTCAGCTGAAAATAGTATTTGGCCAAAGATGATGTAAAATGTATCTCAACTGTGTTCAATGCTCCATCCATGTGGGATTTACCTCTCCATTGATCACTAATATATTGAAAAAACTTCAAGTCCATGGTAATAAAAAGCCGAGGTTAGTCGATTATACTCACTTGTAACGACCATGGAAACCTTCTGGGGTCGTTATAGGACTTTAGAACAATTTCTAGGCAGCAGGTAAATAGTGTCCGGTGAAATAAATCTTCTCTCAAAAGTGCCTGGGGGTAAAAAAAAAAAAAATATCACAAAACTGTTACTACAATGACTAAAAACAAATCCACAAACCTTGAGATTGCCCCACTTCAACCATTATCAAGTCATACCTTAATGATGGGCTATGACTGACCAAAATACTTTGATCTTCAATTTGTGTTACTAGTAAAAAGTCAAGTCATACAACACACTGCAAAATACACTAATAAATCAATTGATGTTTAACATACTTTATCATTTAGCTTATTGTGGAATAATGTAAATAACCCATGTAAAAGACAGGACATGAATACACAGCAAGTCTGTGCAAAAACTAGCAGACTAGAGCTAAAGTAGCAGACCAGCAGTATAACTAGCAGATCTGTGCTAAGAACTAGCTGTTTACACTTGTGTTATGATTTTCAAGTATAAGTACACTCCCAATTTTTGCAGGAGTTACAGATGGGTTAAAAGTGTTCATCCCTAACAAGGGAGAATTCACAATGTTACATAATATTTTAGGAAACCTTAAACTAAGAGTATAATGAAATGACAACCTTGTACACACAACCTGTAATGCTTAAATGTTTTGTACACAAGTTTTATGCAAATAAGAAATTTGATTAACAATTCTATATTCAGTAGACCCATGGTTATGACACCATCTATTAACACACTCAGCAAGTACAGTGGACCCCGACCAACGAAGACATCGTCTAACGATAACTTCGACTAACGAAGCGTTTGAGCGTAAAAATTTTTGGCCCGACCAATGATGAAAAACTCGACCAACATGATTCGTCCCGAACGCATCCACATGTCCCATCTGGCCTGAGGGTGCCTTAGCTGCCCAGTACGGTCACATCCACACATACATTCGGTACATTTTGTATTATTCCAGTGTTTTTAGTGCTTGTAACTGCAAAATAAACCACCATGGGCCCCAAGAAAGCTAGTGCCAGCCCTGTGGTAAAAAGGGTGACAATTACAATTGAAATGGAGATCATCACAAAGTACGAAATTGGAATGCGAGCTGGCCAGGTTGTATAACAAACCCCAAATCAACCATTGCTACTATCTTGGCCAACAGTTAGGCAATCAAGGAAGCTGTTGTTGCAAAAGGTGCAAGTATGTTATTGAAACACAGATCACAAGTACTACTCGAAGATGTTGACTGTTATTGGTGTGGATAAATGAAAAACATATCAGGAGATAGCATCTCTGAAGCAATCGTATGTGAAAAGGCAAGCCAGTTGCATGATGATTTAATTAAAAAAATGCCTGCAACTAGTGGTGATGCGAGTGAATTTAAGGCCAGCAAAGGTTGGTTCGAGAGATTTAACCCTTCAACGGTCCAAATGTATATATACGTTCACTCACGCAGACTTGTTGAGAGAGAAAAAAAAAAAAAATTTGACTTGCTTGAGAATAAAAAAAAAATCAAGAGTCGGTACTTACAGAGACATGAACCCGAGAAGCTGGCACTGGATGCTCATGTAACAGCAACATGGAGTCCTGCCGCTTGCAGAAGTGTTGCCGATATGCCTTTTTTCTATTTTTCATATTTTATATAATTTTTATGTTCTGATAATTACAATTAATAGTAGTTCTTGTCATTTTATAACCAGTCTTTGTTCTGACACTAGTATTAGGTACTAAAACTGTACTTAAATTGTCACAAACACACTGACAGGTGGACATTTACACCTGCCTTGGCCATTTACTATTGTCTTGGAATATATACAAAGTATTTTCGTCCCCGCAATGTTTTGGAAAGTGGAAAAATAATAATAGGAGAGGGGAGGGAAAAAAGGAGAACGTTGCCAGAGCTTTAAAAAAAACCGTA